AAAGTCAAATGTAGACCGCTGACAAGTTATTGTAACATCGCTAGGTCATTGTTGCAAACATCTGCTGCAAGCTAACACTAGAAACTTTAAAGCTTGAACTGATTTTGCCTGTGATATTCTGAACAAAATATTTGGTTTATGTTAAGAAAACTTAGCTAATGCATAATAAATAGCTTCTGCTGTTGCGGTTGCTGTTCACCGCTCCCTCAGGGGATGGGTCAAATGCAGAGAACAAATTTCACACACTCAGGTGTGTGACAATCAGTGGAACTTTAACTTTAACTGTTAATGTCTAGATAATCTGAGGTTTGAAATGCATGTGTGAAAGGAACTTTGGTTGGGTTGGGTAAGTTTAGGCATAAGTAGTGAGATTGATTAGGTTTAAGTTGAGAATATCAGGGTAGGTAAATCAGAGGCAGAGCAGGGTCATGCCTTCACCATTATAAGTAGGCTAATTAGCCACACGCTTCTGTTTGTTTTCGGAATAACCAGCTGTTGGACAGAGAGGTTTCCAGTCGGACATTTTCTAGGCTAATGGAGCTTATTTCTTTCTCCATTGCTGACTAACAGTATATTTGCTATCAATTCCTCCTTGGAAAGCAAACCACGCTACGTCTTTTATCATATTATCAGCTCTGTTAGTGTCATTTTGCTCTCTGTTTTTGATTGGTGGCAGTTTTTGAAAGTCTGAAAGTCCCAAGCATCAAGTTCACTAGATGAGTGAATCTGATATCCTGTGTTTCACCACACATTTGATTTCATCTAAGATTAAGCACAGGCTTTGATTTAGTGCAGTCCTAACCCATTTAAGCTGCAAACCATCTCATATGTACAAGGTCAATATTTGGCAAAAAAAACCTCTAATAATCCCGAACCAAATCTTCCACTTTTTTTTTGTCTACCTTGCCTTTAAATGTGATTAAGGCCGGTGTTTTCAAACAGCAGAATGTAGGTCACATATGGTCAGTGTAGGGTTAGTGGTTTCACAGATGGGGACAGAATCCAAAGGTATCTTCACAACAGAGAACAGCCTGAGGACTGTTGGGTCCATAAAAGCCTGTCAACCAACAGTGTAGAGAAAAGGGTTAAGGAAAATATTTCAAGGTGAAAATGTCAAGCACCTGGATTTTTAAAAAATGATAACTGAGTTCCAGTAAACAGCAGAGAGTGATCTTATAGGAACTCTACGGAAAATTCACCTTTTGGGCAAAATGCTAATACGGCTGCTTAGTATGTTTACTTTCCTAAACTGGCATTTAGCTTTTAGCAATCTTATAAGTTTAGTGCAAGCTATATGTGCAACATGGATCTATTAAACTTGGGTACGCCATCTAGTTTGATGTATGCTGACATACATACTGAGGATGCTCCACGGGTTATTACTTCTCCAACTGTGTCTGTGTGTGTTTGCTAAGCTGTTGCTAAGTTGCTAAGCTGCTCACCTCCTTCTTTACGTGATCATTGTAAGAGCTGGAGGACACATCATACAAGGCTTCTGCTGCTACAACTCCACAAGGTTTTCCTGTTTGCTGGAATCCCACACATTTCCTTTAGCGCGTTTTGCCTCCATGGCGAGCTGCTATCCATCTGCTTGTTTGGATATAGCGCCTGTGTGTCGTTTCATGCTGTATTTCTGTTGGTAGGTTAGTAGACGTAGGTCCTAACTTTGATCACAAGACCGTGACAATGGCCATACTTGAACCTCTCACTGTGCGGCGTGGGACTACCGTTTTAAAGCCATAACCAAAGATATCACCACGTTTCTTTCAAGTTGGTTATCTTTCATCTGGGACAGCCCAAAATCACACAGTGTATACCGGGCTTATCACAGTGCTCTGGGAACTGGTGAAAGAAACTGTTTGCATTCGGCTGTTTGGTAGAAGGGTACCCTGTTATTGCTGGTGGTGAAATTTAGGTTTTAAGTTATAGTAAATATCCTACTGCTTAATGTGATCTTTGACATTTTTAATTCATGCTTAGGTTGTTCCACACAGCTTTGTGCCACTGGCTGTGAATTTAATTTAATCCCTGCTGAAAGAGATTCGACTGGGAGGTCGTCCTAAGTGTTCAATAATCTTTTGGTGTGCATCCACGGTTTTATGTGTCTATTTCCCCAGAACCAACAGAAAATACCCCTTCCTCCTTCTATTCAGCAACGGATGAAGGAAATTATGTTGATTTAGTGCACATTTACTTTAATACTGCTGCAGAAATTCAATTCCAAAAGGAACAGATTTGTGAAAATACATGCAGGGAGGATCCATGTCATAGTGTCTGCTGTAGAGATAGTTTTTGAATCCTCTGAAGCCTGCTTGTAGACAGACAGTCAGTCAGTCAGTCAGCACGCAACACAGCCAGTCTGCCTGTGGGAAAGTCTCCAGCCGGCGTGGCGAGCCTGCCTGTCGTCAGCTGCTGGTGGTTTGGGGTATTTCAAGATACCCTGGTGGGTGTCACTTCACGAGCTTCCTACCACCAGCTCAGCAAGAGTACAGCGGTGTTAAGACTACTGTGGTCAGATAGGGTGGAGAAATGAGTGAGTGTGTGGGGTGAGATTTCAGGTTGAGCATGGGAAACATATTTTCTCAGATATTTGGGACCCGAGCAGCACATAGCTGGGATTCTCATTACACAGATTAGAGCTGCATTCACATGCCATTGATTCCCCATTGGTGCTCAAATTTGATTTTGGGGGTGTAGCAGTTATCTTCTCTATGCTGGGATGTCCAGTAAGTCATACCTATATCAGATATGGTGATGCTAAAAAGACTAATTCAGAATAATTTTAATGAGTATCTCTTCGTTCTTATTTTGGTGTGCACTTTTAAGTTTGTATGAACAGACTGTTTGCTGAATCCCTCCCTCAAACACTGATCATCCAGTCAGTGCTTAGCAACTGTAATTAAGTATGGTCGGACTGTCAAGCAGTTTAATATTTTTTCTTATGACACTGTAATTATAGTGCTAATTTATTTAAATACAAAAACAATTCTGCTCCTTTATGTCGATGACTTATAGGGATCATTAATTGAGCATGCTAACTTTACTGCTGTAAACTTTAGTCTGCTCTGCACCACAACTGAGTTATCAAATACCATATTCTGTGTGTAGCCATCAAATGTATATTTAAGATCTTTTGCAGCATTTTAACCTCTTTTTTGCCACCTAGGACATTAAAAAGTCAACCAGAGGTGTTCGTAGAGTTAGCAATAACTAAATAGTTAGCTACATCTCACAAAAATCTGCCAGCAACAGTCAATTAAACTGGCCACATCAGTGGCAGCTAACTTAAAATAAAAAGTCAGTGTTAGTCTTCCTTTGTCTCGAGTCAAGGACCCATTGTTATGGGGTGTCCCCGAATTTGCCAACACATTCTCACTCCAACCTCGTCACATATTGACGTTTTGGTCATGGACTTTCCACGTCCACATGCGATGTGCAAGGTACCCTGGGTGTGTAGGTTGTTGACGCTCTGGGACACCGTGTCAAGTTCTCTTCTTTCAAGATACACTTCCATCATCACAGGAAATTTGCTGTTTCAGTCTCTTTCATAATCACACTACGTCAGTACAACACCGTAAATTGATGTTTTTTTTCCTTCAACAACAAACACACATGGTTGGGTTTAGGAAAAAAGGTTTTGGCTTAAGAATCTTAGGGGACGCAAACACCACTATCTCCGGTCAAAGTCAGTGTTTGTTGGACCCATTTACCACCCCTCCTGCCTGCACCCTTTCGCCGCCTTAACTTTCGTCCTTGTTCCGCCGAGTTCCCCTCTGACATCGCCAGGTGCCAATAAACAATAACAGCAACTGTCCGCGTATCATGCTGACGTTAAAGGACGCCTTTTCCGTTGGTTTCTGACACCCAAGCGTTGGATTTCGACGACTTCCTAGTAAGACTGGGTTCAATTTGCATTTCATAGGATAGCAAAGGCTTGACCCATCCTGTTCTCCCTCTTAATGGCTAGTACTTGTTGGCTAGTACTCATTTCCTTCATTGGTTGGATTGGTTAGGTTTTGGCAAGAGGTGTAAGATTGATTAGGGTAAGAATGTCAGGGTAAGCCAGTCAGAGGCAGAGGAAGGCAGAGTAGGGCAGGTCATGGATTCGCTATCCTAGGAAATGCAAATTTGCCCCCTGGTAGCCCAGTTGTTCGGACTACTTCTCACATGCAACGTACATGGTTCGATTCCTGGCAGAGGACCTTTACCTTGTGCCATACCTCTCTCACATTGTTTTCTGTTCTCCCTCAATACTGACTATAAAATAAAAGCAAAAAAGCTTTAATAATTAAAAAATGTAATGGGACACATTGTCCAGAAAATTATTACAAATTTACCAGAGGTAAATCAGCCACTGTTATGAGCATAAACTGCATAAAAGAAAACTCAACAGGTGTAGCAACATAACTGTTACGGGCACGGCTTCACTTTTGAGGTGTTCTCACGATGTCAGTTGATTTTATGTGTCTTGTTGTTCACTGTTGTCTCAGGCAGAACCAGTAAATTTGACTTCCTGCCGTTTCAAACAAAGCAACTTGAAATGTTCTACTGCTTGTGAAACAAATGGACAGGGATCTGAATGTACCTTGCAGCATTTTGTTATCCATGTTGTTGATGTCTGAAAAAGAAAAAAAAAAAGTCTAAGGTGGGACATGCAGCCACTTAATAGGCACAGGTTGCTTTGTTTTACCACAACAGTTTATTATAAAGCTGACAGCAAGGTTATTGGTCGGAGCATGGGTGGATGTGAGGTAAATGTTTACTATGATGCATAACTCTTAACCAAATGTTTGCATTAATTCATCCAGCAAAGGTTAAGGCTGATCCCTCTGGACAGTGATTCAGAGATGGGATCAGGGAGGGAGGAGGCCGACCTCAGCTCGTTGTCTTCCTACAATTAGCTTTATTTAAACTCCAGCCAGCGTGTAATCAGGCGGCAGGGAGGCCACAGTGATGACTACGGACTTTACATGCTCTCTTCTCTTTCTTTCTCCGTGTAGTGCACGTCCTACCGGCCACCAAGGCCAAAGAAAGCCTGTGGAGCTTGTTTGAAGGTAAATCGTCATATTTTTAGTGTGTTTGAGTGTGTGTGTGTGTGTGTTTGTGGTGAACTGGCACTGTATCGTCCTTGGCAGGCAAAAATAGCCCAACCCAAAGGATATAGTGCAGTGCCTTAAATAGCTCTGCAAAACATGTACTTCTTTTTTTCCTTATGATTTTTGTGTACAGTGAAGCAATAAGCCTGAGGCTGATGTGTGTGTATATGTTTCTGTGTTTCAGATGTGTACCTGTGTGCAGTGCTGATCTGCTCAGTGGGTTTGCTGTGTATGTGCATGTTCACAGTGACAGTAACCTGTCAGTACATACAGAGGAAGCAGAGGTTAAAAGGTTAGCAGCAACATCATATCCTGTTTCTATTATTTTCTCCATGTTTTCTCTCTACAACTCCTCTCCTAAAGTATAATACCTATTGTCTCCACATCTGTTATTATGTTTCTAAGTGTGTCATATCTCTGCAGATAATTACCACTTGGTCAAAAGCCCACAGAACAGGTAAGATTTTAGGACGACACAGCCTCCAACAATAGCCACAAAAGCTAACAAACATTCAGATGTTCTCAACTGCACTGAACCTCTGGTAATCTGATCTCAATCCAGCTCAGGAGAAACAGTCACCAGTGTGGTCAGTGTGTCTCCTGCTCTGCCTAAGAAGGAGAGGAGGTACAGGAAGAAAAGGAGCAGAGACTACCAAGAGGAGATACCACCAGAGATACCGGCAAAAGGTAAATAAGAGTCCCTGGGTGCATTCAAACCTACAGTTTTGTCATAGGTAGCTCATTTATTGCACATCTACTTACTCTTGGTTTATTTTGTTCTGCTTGGCTTTCCCAACATGAACATGCCCGCATTTGAGGTCAACATCAACCACTTTCACATGTAAACTTCAGAGTTATGTTGTAACGTGGAATGCCATGTATCTTTTTTCACTGAAAGCAAAAAATGTTTTGAAAGTTATTTTGAGTTCAGCACCGTCCCAATGATGATCATCATGATGTGGTAGAGTTCCCAAATCCTTAAATTTCCTCCCAACTCACTGCTGATGTTTTGAAAGGGAAATACTGCTGTTTGGAAAGTTTAAAATATCTTAGCGCTGACCCTGTTGAATGTTGCTGTTTGGTGCAACTGATACTGATACTGCAGCTGTTTGAAGCAGTATTAGTTGTTGGGCTTTTTGGCCACTCAGGGGAAAGCAGCTGCCGGTATCTTGCAATATCACAACCATCTTGACAGGTTTGCATTACTGGTGGCTCGCATTTGTGTGCAAACCACCAGTGGTTTCGACCAATCAGCACAATCAGCATCCAATGAGGAGCTACTGGTAGCTACAGGCGTGGTTTAGGTGTGTGTGACAACACGAAAAGGCAACTGTTAGAACAACAATGGCAGCTCCTGAAGAAGTTAGCACAGACGCTTGATAACATCAGTTATATCAGAACTAGAGAGTGTTTCTTTATTGAAAGACAAGCAAAGGGGGCGTCAGAAAAAAATGTCATCATCTCCCTGACTGGCCAGTGGTAGACGATGATCATTATGGTGAATGTGTGAACAAACATTTCCTGCTTACACATCCAGTCTACACCAAGCAACATTAAAAATTATTGGCTTCCAAAGCTAACTAATGTGGGTTTAATCAGTACAAAAACCTGTGTTTTTGCAGACGGTTAAATGTCAAACCATTTGGACTGTTGCCAGGCAACCAGCGGACACCCAGGAACTGGATAAGTTGTCTGCCACATACACCTTGTGTAAAGGCGAACTATCGCTTTTATACTTTGGTTTATGTACAGATGAAACAAACAATATATAACATGTTAATTAGTGAGCTTTGGAGGCGCTGGTAGGTGGACAGTGCCAGCCTAGCTGTTCTTCCCTGTTTCCTGGCATCATGCTAAGCTAAGCTAATGGCTGGTTGCTTTAACTTAGTATATTCACATAAGGGGTGTTAACCTTTGCATGTTACTTTCAGGAAGAAAGTGAATAAGAATGTATTTCCCAAAATGACAAACTTTTCCTTAAACTTGTAAGAAATTAAACTAAAACATGACACTAAAACGATGTTGGGTGATAATTATGCTGAATTCCATTTACCTTGGAGTGAGAGGTCAGAGCTGGGAATGACGTCAAACCCAAGTTGATCGCGTTCCAGTAGCCAGTAACAAGTTGGTTTGGTTAGCAGAAGTAGATCTAGCTAGGTGAGCCATTGTTAGCAATACCAGCTGATAATGCGTTATGCTGTATGTTGCAACATAAAATAGCAGCATGTCCACAGATAGAAGTTGGACAGGACTGTGGGTATGACTGTTTATGTGAGACACAAATAAGACAGAAGTGCTTATAAACAAATATTACTACAGCTTTGGCTACTGTTGATGTTTGAAGCAGCCATCTTGGATTTTGAGGTTGGGTTGGTGAGGTTCCTCCCACTTCCTGTAGAAATATCTGACTGGGAGTGGACAGAGCAAATGGAATGCACCATTATTTGTGTGTTTATCACTGGAGGTGACCCCTCTCACATAGCTATTTGATCCATTGTTAATATGAAAATACAGACCAATGCAGCTTCAGGCCAAAGAGGTGAATCATTCTTGTGCATTATTCAAGGCTCCACTCAAAAGACCAGTTACTTTAGAAGTGGGATTGAATTTTAAATATAAGAATCACTAAAGGCCTTGAAACATTTCCTATTATACTGGTATTAGTGTCTGTCTAAACACTCTGTGCATGTCAAGTTTGTGGTTATGAAGAAGAGGTCTGGTTCTTATTGGACACATAAATATATACATTAATTATATTTGCTAAACACATCACTGTAAAACCACTGACTTTTCTTTTGTCCTTGCAGCTCCCATTGGAGACAAAACACGAAAACCCAAACTTTTAAAACCACAACCGAGGAAAGTAGTGCTGGTGAGTTCTATGCATGGTCTTTAATACATTGTTTACCTTAATCATTGCTGCCAAATAATCAGGAATCTACCCAGTTATTGTTTTCTCCTGTTTTTACCCTTGTTTTACCTACATGTATATATGTGGCATATATCACTTTTGTACAAAACACTTGAATTTTGCCTAAAACCTACCGTACCAAGCAAAGCATTCATAATGACATGCTATTGTTGTTATGTGCCAAATATAATGGAGAGCACCCAGCATAAGACAGGAATGCCTGTAATCAAAAGTACCAGAAAATGTCATAAAACGTGCCACATAACCCAAGTTTAATTTGGTTTAAACTGTCACTGGAATGAAGTGACTCTGTGGCACCAAATGCGGCAAGAGATAATTGAATTTTGGCAACCTCAAACCAAGAATCCTGTAAGGTGACGTCTGCACACAACCTGCACACATTGACCAAACCAATGCTGTAAAGCAGAGGGAACCAAGGAGAGAAGAAAACGTCAAACTTTATGGAGTCTAGTTTTCTTTGTATAAAGAATCATTTAGCATTCAGTTTTAATTCAGTTTAAAAGATTTCTGGTTTCATATACTGACAGAAATCTCAAGTTTAAGATTAATCATGAGTTCTACATAAAAATCTCTCAACCTCGCAGATCATTTTCTAACCACTGATACCACTTTCCTCCCTTGCCACCTCCTGCTCCCCCTCTCCACCATCATGATTTCCCTCTACCCTCTTTCTCCTCCATCTCCAGCCAAAGATAGTGGAGGAGAATCTGACCTACGCAGAGCTGGATCTGGTGAAGCCTATTCCGGAAACCAAGGCCTCGTGTAGCGGCACTGTGTACGCTCAGATACTGTTTGGGGAGCAGCAGCTATGAGAGAAACACACACACACCACTAATAACTGTGCCTTATGTAAAAAGTATTGTCTATTTATACGCTGTATTAAGGGCAAAATGTGTAATGTCTCACAATTATGACTTCATTGTACATATGATTTTATGTTATTTGATATAACTTCCCTTTAATGAGACCAAGATGCAAAAGGTATACTGGAGTATTTCATGTTGATTTTTTTTCTTTTGCACCATGTTTGAATCCTGTGTAGCTTAAACTGGGAACACAATAGAAAACTCTGATGTTGACTGAGACCAGATTTGTCCTAAATGACAGTCGGAGTGGGACTACTACCAATAGCATCACCTGCAAATAAGAATAATGCTGCTTTTTCATAATGGTTTATTTCAAATAGACAATTAGACATTTTAGGGAATGCTCATTCGCTTCCTTCAAAGAGTTAGATGAGGCAGTTGATATCACTCCCATGTCTGTACGTCAAGAATGGAGCTACAACAAGGAGGTGATTAGCTTAGCTGAGCATAAAAGCATAATAAAGACTGATAAATAATAAAGCATAGACAAGCATAGAAATATCCTGGATACATACATTGCCATCTTGTGCTTTTGGAGCTAGAGTCTGCCCAGTAGCTCAGCTACTTCCCACCCATACACCCATTTGACCCAATAGCGAGCGGCACCTTTAATTGCGGGCACACCAACCGGCACATACAGCTGTCAATCATGTCACCACACCCCCTTTTTATAGCATCAAATAACTAATTAAAACCAGACTTTTCAGAAAAGTGTACACTTGAACATACATTAGCATGGTAAGAACTACCTATAATGTAGAAAACATCTTTGGGAAAAAATAATTTGACAAGTAATGTTACTTCAATTTTTCATGTCCCATCTGTCAGCATGAGGGGTTTTTGACCTATACTGCAGCCAGCCACCAGGGGGCAATCGTAATATTTTGGCTTCACTTTATACAGCAGGGAGGCAGCCGGGCTTTGAAGACAATTTTTGTAGTGGCCAAACAATGGAATTGCAATATCTGGAGCCTAAAAATACTTTTTCCCCATTAACTTACATTGTGAGACAGATTTCTGTAGACAGGAGTTTCACAATCCACTTGAAAAGACTTATTACACTATTGGGATTTAATCCACTGGTCCAATACCATCAGGAAAGCCCCGAAGAGCCACACAATTGAATCATTTAATCTCTATACAAGTTAGCAGAGTGCTAAACCAGCTTGGGTGGCTGAAGTCTCTGGTGCGCCTGCTTTATGGGCCGCACAATGCGAAAGCAGCGCCGATCATCCAGGTGATTTCATAGATGTTAGTTGAACCATTTAGGCTTCATGTGCCACTGAGCAACTTTCATAGGCAAGAATGGGGCCCAATGCTGTATCCAGGTCTCTTTATACATCCATGGTACACAGTCACTGACTGTGAAAACAGCTAGCCTGGCTCTAGCTAGCTAGCTAACTAGCTAATAAAGCTAGGTTAAATTAGGCCTATGTGCTGTAACTGTTTCTCACCAGCGTCTCCTGGCTGTTGAAAAATGAAAAAAATATGCACGTATCTCCCTGTAAAACCACAGATTTTTGTATTTGTGTATGGATAAGACAAAATAGATATAATTTATTAGTGAGCTTTAGTGTATTTTTAAACTTGCTGTTGACCCCCTGATCTGGCGTTTGGGACTTTCCCAAGCTAAGCTAATAGCTTCATACTTCATGTACAGACCCATAAGAGGTAACAATCATCTCATCCAAGCTATTTACCAAAATGTTGAACTATTCCTTTAAAATTATAACTACGTATTATTTTAGATAGTTGCATTTAAATACATTAAAAACATGAAGGCTTTTTATGTAAGCAGAAATTGCAATGCTATACTAGTTCCTATGAGATCCTTAACTCTATGTTATTTCTTAAGTCTGTTGCTTAAACTCACTGACACAGTGAATTGTGGGAAATCCCAGCTAGGGTAAACAGATTTATGAAGGAGGGACGGAGTAAATTCAAGACATCCGTTGTTATGGATGTAAACTAATGCATTTTCAAATGTGATTTACTTCAACTGTGTTCCCAGTGTTATCTGCCTCACCACATCTGTTTAGTGTGTTTCTGTGTGTCAGACTGTAGTTTATCATGACCACAACTCCACAGAGTTGATATTAAAATAGCGATTAGCCCCCGGACCTCCCCTCACGGGCAAGTATGTGAGACCATGCGAGCCCTTTCATCTGGTGCCAACATCAACTTAACAGGCTGTTAGCGACACACACATGAACATATACAAAGGTGGAGTAACATGTAGGCTTAACACCCTCGTAGACCCACTCACACAAAGGCACATACTGTAAATCCAAAAAACTGAAAACAACTGTGACGCCTGATCTACAAACAGAGACAAACTAAGGCCTGTGTTTGGACTGTTTCATATTAACAAAGTCTGAGTTTACTCCAAATCTTAAGGTATTTTTGTTGTTTGAGATGAGATAAGAACCAGAAGCCATATCAGCTCTACTCCCACATACCTTGGTACGGTCTCCTTGCTTTCTCACTTTCCGTGAATCTGAGTGTGAAAGTGCTTAGGCTTCTTTTTCCATCTAATGATCCTCTGGATTCAGGCATGGAAAAGCAAAGGAGAGTTTTTTAAACAGTGAACTTGAAACCCAGACACAAAGGCACCGGATCCCTCCCTTCCCCCAAGACTTTCACTATCTTATGTGGAGTTATCCATGCAGATGGAGCCCCACACAAATATGAGTCTCAATCTCTGCTCCAGCCCAGTTGCCAGAGGAAAATGTTGGCAGTGTACATTTCTGCAAACCACACATTTTATACTTATCATATCAGTGTTTGTAGAGTGATGTAATATAAGCTGACTTTGTCACCAGGTGGTGGAGGGAATGGTGGATGATGTGTCACCTAGGCCTATGCCAAACTGCAGACTACTAAAGACCACTTTTTGAGACCAAAAAAAAACAAACCCAAACAGCTGTGATTTAGTGAATCATGGCTGTGTTTCCAGCATCTTTGTAGGGACCATATGTGGGTGTTTGGTAGCAACCCCTTGCTGTTTTTCCAGCAACTTTTTAGGCATGAAAATCATTGTTATTTTACAAAGACATTGTTGCTTTTCCCCCCAGGACTGCGGTCAAAAACTAGTTGTTTTTTACTAAGACATCTCTGCCTCACCTCCCATGATAGTAGCCCAAAAAGTGATTGCCTTTTTACCGAGACGTCGCCACTTTTCCTGCTGGAATCAAGCTCCTCAAATGGAGTACTTCTTTTCCTAGCCATACCCACGTGGTTTTTGTGACTAACTAGGCTGACCAAATGTCCTCTTTTGCCCGGACATGTCCACTTTTCACTTCCCGTCCGGGGCGTCCGGGTTTTTTTTTTTATAAACTGATGATAATGTCCGGTTTTCCGTGTGTTTGTGTGTGTGTGTGTGTTAGAGTGCGGCACGGGCCGCATATTTCTGTCCAAACCCGAACCGAGCCCGACATTATTTAATGACCAAAGCACTGAGTTTGTGTCACACAGTGGTTACAGGCTATTTAACAGGCTGGGCGTGCGCCGTGGTTGCTCAGCTGCGGAGAGGGAGACCTCCGTGTTTGAGACGGGAGCGGGTGGCGGGAGGTCCGAGGCTTCCAGCGAGGGGAGAGGGAGAAATATAACAAAATAAGATAAAATACCAGAAACCTGTCTCCCTCTTTTATTTTATTTTCAGCGTTTAATCAAGGCGGAGGCGGGCGGCTGGAGGTCCGAGACTTCCAGCAAGGAGAGAGGTAGAAACAAACAGCCAATGTGTGTCTGTGTGTGTTATGTTCAGGTGTTGTCACGTAAATAACAGTGCCCAAGCAATAAACAGGACAGACAATAGGATTTTATTTATTTTTACACTACATTTTCACTGAAAGCTGACCGAATCCGACCCGAGCCCGAATACAATTTATAGCTACATTTTTGACCAAACCTGGCCCGACCAGTCGGGTACCGTCGGGCTCGGATCGCCACACTCTAGTGTGTGTATGTGTCCCCTACTGGGGCCTATCTGAATTTCTGTCTTTGAGAGATATTATTTTGTAATATAACTGAATTTTCTATCCATACATATAAATTTTAAATATATTAAAATTATAAGGCATCTTTGAGTAAACTGCGAGTATCATTTAAGTAGGCTATGTCGTGTCCTCTTTTTTGGAAATCAAAATATGGTCACCCTAGACTAAACCTAACACATGTTAACCACAGTGTTGTTGAAATGTAAAGTTTCAAGGTATCCACGACATTATAACGTACAAATATAATGTATCTATGGTTTGCATATACTGTCAATGCCAACATTTTATCTGGCAATTGGGTTGTTAGCCCCCTTTTCGTTGTGTGTGTTAGCTAAACCAGCTACGTATCTGGTAACCAGTAGTTAGAAAGTATTTAGGCGCTTGAGTTAAATGATTGGACTTTTATGTAAAACATTTAAGAGTGAACTTATACGTGGTATTTGATTTTTAGTTTTGCAGCAACTTTATGAGTATCTGTGTAGCAACCGTGGTTAGCTAGCTAACAGCTGATGACATTTATTGGATTGCTGTGACAAAAGGGTCAGTCTACTGTCACAAAAAGACAGAAGTCTGCTTAAAATTGTCAAGAAAGCCAAATTGTTTGTTGTATTCTCAATCAACAGTTGTTGCACAGAAGTTGATTTCCAATACGCCAGCCAGGAGACACTCCAAAAAAACCCACCAAATACAGTACAGGACAAAGATTTCTAGCCATCACCACAACTTTATAACCCATTTTTACAGCAGGCTGGTGGTTGTGGACTTTGACATTCTGTTTCCCTGCCTAATACATTTTAATTCAAACCACTATCGACCTCCATTTGTCACCAGTCCAATTTTCCATTGTTGTTCCCTCTTGTATTATTCAGTTGCACAGTGTGTATTATCCATGTATGACATGACTGAAAGTGACCTTTCAGTAGTGGGCAGAAGTGTCTTAAAAATGCCCTGAGACTGTGAAATGTAAAGTTTCTTCCAGACCACATTGTCCTTAATGGGAATCCACTAACTAGAACCATGTGTGTGAATTGTGCCTCTCCCTCTCCCTGCCCACCACTGACCTCTGCATTCATCAGCATTCCAGCATTTTCTCTCTTGTTCATTTTGTACATTTCATCTGTACAGTAGTGTGTATCAGTAAGTGAAATAAATATAAAAGCTGATGTAAGCATATGCTGCCACAGAAGTGTTGTTAACCATGCTAGTGGTGTCGCTCTGGCGATGTTCTGTCTGTCTGTCCTGATTGAAATATCTCCACAGCAATTGGGTGCGTTTCCATAATACTTAATAGAGACATTAATGTCTCCCCACAGGATAACGCCCTCAGATTTCGGTGATCTCCTGACTTTTCCTTGAGCGTCACCAGGAGGTCAAAATGTGTCACTTATGCTGTGAAATATCTAAAAATTCCAACTCCTTTGACTTTTCCAATGTTCTCTCGGGATGTATAGAGACTTTTCATTTAGAGCCAGGTCAAATTTTTGATTTTGCCAAAACTTTGCTTCAAAACTAAAGACTACCATCCGTCTCAGCTGTACTTAGCAAATGTTAGCATGCTAATATGCTAAAGCAGTAAGCAGCTCTGTCCTAAAGGGAAACAAATCTTGTTATGTTTGTCACATGTATCCCAATAAATATAGAGACATTAAGCCAACCAATAACTTAAAGAGGGTATCTTGTCTGTTCCACAGTTAGCAGTTTAGCAGGGAATATCTGCACCAACTAAATCTGAAAATCTTCAAGCCTGGTGACCTGGTGCAGGACATACTATTCAAGTTTAGGTACCGTACCATTGTTACAGTGGCCCGAAATTTTGAGGTCCCATTTGTCCAAAAAATGCCCCATTGGATTGAAAGCCCATTTCCCCAACTGCCTGTTATTCCTGAAACAAACGCCCATTGCTCCGATATGTTCCATTTCTCTGAAAATACATACAGGTTTTTACCAACCCTTCAAAGTATTTCTCAGTGGCACTTGAGCCACTGATCGCGAATGTTTTGGGGCATTTCTCAGCTGCGTTTGTGCCACCAAATGTGGGTGTTTTAAGCCAAAACATGATCTTTTCTTAACAATAACCAAGCAGTATTTGTACCTGAATCTAACCACGCAATCACCACAAGACTGTTGCAACATATTTGTGGATTACAGAATTGTACAATGCAAAAATGTTTCTGATGATTGGGTTGTCTAACCACAGGTAGTGTGCATTTTCAACAAATTGTTTTGTCTGAAGTCTTGTTTTGCAAAACAGGACTTAAGAACAATCGGCATTTGTTTTTGTGATAAAAGGCTGTCGGAGAAATGGGCTTTCAGTTGAATGGGACATTTTTTCGGACTTCAGATT